TTTAAACATTGGAAAACACTGCCGAACTTGCATGTTTCAATCATCGTGCTGGAGTTCAAAAAGATAAAATAAAACGATTACAAATTAATTAATATAAATGAATGAAATGCAAACGTCCTATCCTAACCAAGACTAGGAATTAAATATGCAACTATCCTATGCACGCGCCATAGTCTCTAATCACGATGCCACCGTCAACTGTACATGGGCACCTTGCCTTTACCTGAAAAACAATATGGCACACGGCCGAAGAAATACTCAGTAAGTGACCCTACTATAGGGGCCATGCTAATGCAAACACATGCAATTATGAATAGTGACCTATCACTAATAATCTTAGGGGTGGCCTCCAGTCTCGGACAAATTAGATGTATAGTACTTCCCTACACATGACTCACACGTGCGAGTTTGAGTCCCCAGGGCGCTCGCACACCCCCTGGACCCTCTGATCAAGCTAATCTGTAGCGACGTCCGGAGGTCAGCGGAACCCCATAGTGTCATGCGCTTCATGAACACCCTCATCTGTGTGCTTTCGTACCTGTGCGCATTCGTGCTCATCATAAGGTGCGCGTCCGCACTCATCATCTCTAGGGGAAGTAGCCCTATGCTTATGAACATACAAAATGCATGAGGTCCCTCTAAATCCATCGTAATGTCTCTTCTGACACAACCCTCTAGTCTCATCTCTTTATTACTCTAGGTAACGCATACTCGTGGATATTTATATTAATATCATTTTCATGCTCTTAGGGTTGTGTCCTACATCGATCTAACGACATGATGCAATATGGCACTCATCATCATCTAGCATGCTCAATATGGAAAACATCATCATATTAAGGTAAAAATCATGCAATCATCACGCTCATCATAATGCCACAACGTGCGTCAAACATATCAAGCGTCACTCAACAAAATATGTATATACTAGCACATATCATCAAGCATCATACAATTTATTTAGCCTATCCTATAGTAAGGCCACTTACTTGGTTGGTCTTGGCCGAAGTACTCCCTAAATAGCTAAACGTAAGCTCCCGTTCCGTGAGAGCTGCTTGCTATGTCGCTGGGGTTTGTTTCCTATCACACCGTTCACCACTTTCCGTTAGTATTTCACAATTAATTTACCTATAGTTTAATAAATGTGAAATACGGCTCAAAAACGGCCTCGGATACCTTAATCGGGGCCGAAAACAAACCTTGGAGGGTCGAAACAGTGGAAACTGGGCTAAAAACAGGTGAGCCGAGCCGAACAGCCGCTGGAGCGTCACCGGAGGGAGCCCGAGCCGTTTGCGCCGAGCCGAGCCGAGGGACTGCCTGCGCCGCTGTGTGACACGTGGCGGCAGCAGAGAGAGCCACGTCGAGCGATAGTGTCGGGTCGAAGTGCGGGTTGCAGTCCGGTTCGGGTCGTGGTTCGGGTCGCGGGCTGTGGAAGGCTACTGGGCCAAGACTAATCATTGGGCCTCGGCTTACTGGACTGGGCCGCAAGTGTTTGGTTTGCAGGCCAGCTCAATTGGACCGTGGGTCTAGTCTAGGTTGGTTCAACTGAACCGTAGCTTCTAGGCTGGTTTGAGGTTTGGGCCGTTGTAGTTGGGCTGGGCCGAAGGCAGAGGCCAAGGGAGGAATGGGCTGGCTCTCTCGGGTTTTGGGTTCGGGTTGACCTGGATCTGTGGATCTTGTCTTCCTTACCCGACTTCGGCCGATTTTCCAGCGAGCTTTCTCTCTCCTTCTCACGGCATTTCCGTTGCCGATTTCGGTCCTCTTCCTTCCCTTTTCCTCTTTGTTCGTCGTCCTTCTTTCTTTTCTGGGAGTTTTGCAGCCTAAAAGCTCCTAAAAGCCACAGATCTAAGAATCGATTAAGAAAACCTAATTTTTCGACCTCGGTTACTGACGACGACGCTTATGAAATAACACAAAACGCACCCTGAGTTATTGTGCTTTCGTTAGGGATCCTTCTCATGGTGGTAACAGGTCATTTGGTGTCGGTTTGAGGGTGGTTTGAGGGCTCGTCGGAGAAACTGGACACTCGCTGACGTTTGTCCGAAATCTCTCTCTCTCTCTCGAAATTTTCTATCTTTTCTCCCTTTGTAGGTGTTCTAAAGATGCTGGGTGCCGTGGGCTGAGGGCTGGGCGTGCTGTGGCCGTCGTTTCGCGTGGGTTCCGCGAAACTCGGCGGTCGCCGGAAAACTCGCGGGTTTTTCGGCGACTGAGTTTTTAATTTTTTTTTAATTTATTTTATTTTTTATTTATTTTTTATTATATATATTTTTCTTTCTTTCCCGGATCGTTACATTATCTACCCCTAAAAGGAAATTTCGTCCTCGAAAGTCTCAAACTCTTGTACCAACTCGAGGTATTTCTCTCTTATTTCGTTCTCACGCTCCCACGTGTTGAGTTATGGAGTCTGCTCCCTGTATTTATAGCCTGGTCAACGGCTATATCCGGTAAAGCTATATTTGGTAAAGCCATATATGGTAAAGCTATATCCGGTAAAGCTATATATGGTAAATAGCTATTATAGTAGATGGTTAAATCTAGTAAAGCTATATTTAGTAGACTGAACCATATATATATCCCGTCCAGTAAAGCTTTGGAAATGTACTTTTCTATTCTCTGTACTCTCTCTTGTTGTACATACCTAAAGCCGTCAATAAAAAAAATTCTTTTAGCTAGAGTTCTCCTTGCAATTTTCTCTATCCTTTTCTTTGTGTTCATCGAGATCGAGCGTGTGCGTTGTTGTGCGATCCTAACAACTGGTATCAGAGCAAGGCAATATTTTAGCGAAGTCCTGCACGAACCTTCGATAATATCCCGCCAATCCTAGGAAACTCCTTACTTTCGTTACCATAGTTGGGCATTCCCACTTTGTGATCGCTTTGACCTTGGTGGGATCTACAGATATTCCGTCCTTTGACACCACGTGTCCTAGGAAAGAGACTTGTCGTAACCAAAATTCGCATTTGGAAAACTTGGCGTACAGCTTGTGCTCTCTTAGGGTGGTTAGGACTTTTCGGAGGTGTTCCTCGTGCTCTAGGTCGGTTCTCGAGTATTTGAGGATGTCATCAATGAACACAATCACGAACATGTCTAGGCATTCTTTGAATACCCGATTCATTACCTCCATAAACACAGCTGGGGCATTGGTGAGGCCAAATGACATCACTACGAACTCGTAGTGACCGTACCTTGTCCTAAACGGTGTTTTTGGTACGTCTTTTTCATTAATCCTAATTTGGTGGTAACCGAACGAAGATCTATCTTAGAGAATACTGTTGCCTCTCTAAGTTGATCAAACAAGTCTTCTATTCTAGGTAGGGGATATTTGTTTTTTATGGTTCTCTTGTTTAGCTCTCTGTAATCGATGCACAGACGCATCGATCCATCTTTCTTCTTAACAAACAACACTGGCGCGCCCCAGGGGGACACGCTAGGTCGAATGAATCCTTTATCTAGTAAGTCTTGCAATTGCACCTTGAGTTCCTTCAACTCTGCTGGCCCCATGCGATAAGGTGCTTTGGAAATAGGCCCAGTTCCCTGCTCGAGTTCGATGACGAAGTCGACGCTCGGGAAGGGGGTATTCCAGGTAAGTCATCCGGAAATACATCCGGGAACTCGTTTACTATTGGCACGTTTACTAGGGTCTTTTCCTTTCCTCTTACGTCTACAACACATGCTAATATAGCCCATCCACCTTGTTGGACTAACCTCTTTGCTTTCATCATCGAGACTACCTTGGGGGTAATCCCGGTATTTGTGCCTTTAAATCTAAAGGTAGGTCCTGTCAGTGGTGAAAATTTTACTTCCTTTTTGCGACAGTCTATACTAGCTCGATTTTCAGCTAACCAATCCATGTCTAGTATGACGTCGAAATCTGTCATGTTTACCACCATCAGGTCAATGCTTAAAGTTTGGTTCCCTATGATTACTTGGCCATTCTTTACTCTATCCCTAGATACTAAGTCTACCCCCGCAGGGGTGCTTACAGACATTTCATGCAATAAGGGTTCTAATTCGAACCCTGCTTGTACAACAAAAGGCATGGAAATAAAGGAATGCGTGGAACCAGAATCAAATAAGGTAAAAGCGAAATGACCTAAAATGGATAGTATACCTGTCACCACGGCGTCGGACCTCCCAGTGTCCTTGCTGGTTGATGCGTAGGCCCTAGCTTGAGCTCGCGGTGGTGCTAGTTGATCCGTTTGCTCTACTACTCTGGGCAGGTTTGCTTGTGCTGCAGCATTTCCGGCCGTGCAGTTCACGGCGATGTGGCCCTCTTGACCACATCTATAACATGCTCGGCTGCCAGCCATGCACCTCCCACCGTGTAGTCTTCCACAGATAGTGCACCCTTCCTCTCTCCTCCCTCTGGCCCCATCTTGATTCCTGGGGTTCCTGTCAGTACGTTGGGGAGGGCATCGCTCATCCCATCTAGGAGCGGGTCTGTTATTGGAACGGTGCGTACATGCTGGTGGTGGACGGTCAGAGCCTCCTGATTCATGAGGACGCTTCTGCCCAATTATAACTAGCTCTTCACGTCGTTTCTCATTCTTTGGTTTCTCTAAAGCCTTGGCAGTTCTCAAGGCTTCCTCATAGGTCTTTGGGTTGAATGCCTTCAACATGCGGCGAATTCTTGGTACCAAACCCAATACAAATTTCTCTGTCATCTTTTCCCCAGTGTCCACCATGGACGGTGCAAATCATTGAGTCTATTAAACTCTCGGTTATACTTCTCCACTGTGAGTCTGCCCTATACTAGGTGGGCAAACTCCTGCTGCTTTTTAAGTCGCTCTGACTTAGGATAATATTCTTTAAGGAAGGCCTCCCTAAATCGTTCCCAGTTCATTGGTCCCCCTTCTGGGTTAAGAAGGGTTTTGTTATCTCTCCACCATATCTCTGCGTCCTTTTGTAGGACGAAGGTTGCACAGGCGATCTTTTGGTTCTCTAGGCACTCCATAGTCTCAAAGGTGGTTTCCACTCCTGCAATCCACATTTGGGCTTCTATGGGGTCTACTAGGGAACCCGTGAATGGTCGAGGGTCGTATCTCTTGAAATCCCTTATCTAGTTTGAACATCTAACAGGTTGTGGAGGGTTTACTGGGGCATTGGCCTGAGCAGTGGCCTGTGCTTGTGCCTGTGCCTGTACTTGTGCCAGTGCCAACGCCTGTGCCTGGGCCTGTGCTTGGGCTTGTTCCTGGGCCTGTTGTAGACTGGCTTGCTGATTGGTTACCAAGGTTTGAATTAGGGCTTAGATGGAGTCACACATTAACCTAGTATTAGCATCTACCCCACCCACTAGGGGTGCAGCTTCCGGTGCGACTTGGAGTGGTAGGGTAGGCTGGGATGGAGGTTCTACTTGTGGTGGAGGCTCAGCTTGTAGTGGAGCGTGATGAGGTAGCTCAACTGGTGGTAAGACTGGGGGCGGCGTAACTGTTACCGGCCCAATCTCTGATCTTTCTTGAGGTGGGCCCTCTACTGCCACACCTCGTCCTACTTCTCTACGACGGGGTCGCCCCCATCCTCGTCTTCCTCTTCCTCTTCCTCTTCCTCTTCCTCTTCCTCTTCCTCGTCCTCTGGGCATGGTTCTATAAACCAATATAAGGTTGCTTAAGTCTAAGGCCTTAATACTATGCATATATATAAATAACAATACGCACACTATACAATACATCGTAACGCCAAAGAAGTAAACATTCATCATGCTAAGCATCATAGCATGCTACTAACAAAATTACTCAGCATGCATTACATGACATCATACTCTTAAATAAATATGTGACATATCACAACCGTTTCAGTAATGTCAACATAAAAGAAAAAAAATGCACGCAAGTTTTAAAACGTTTCTCTTTTCTTATCTTATGCAAGGCGTACCTGACGGTGACGGGGCATCGACGTTGGGACCGTGGAGCGTGCCAAGCCTACATCGTAGGCTAGTCTACAGAATCTAAAACCTAGAGCTCTGATACCAACTTTAATGACGCTAAATTTTCACATATCTAGAGTCGCCACTAACGTCTCATGCTCATCTCTAATGTAGAATAAAAACTCTAAGAATGCTCACCTTTATTAGCGGAAAAATTTAAAACTTCAGAATACATTTAAACATTGGAAAACATTGTCGGACTTACGTGTTTCAATCATCGTACTAGAGTTCAAAAAGATAAAATAAAACGATTACAAATTAATTAATATAAATGAATGAAATGCAAACGCCCTATCCTAACCAAGACTAGGAATTAAATATGCAACTATCCTATGCACGCGCCACAGTCTCTGATCACGATGCCACCGTCAATCGTTCATGGGCGCCTTGCCCTTACTTGAAAAATAATATGGCACACGGCCTAAGTATTTTGAAGAAATACTCAGTAAGTGACCCCACTATAGGGGCCATGCTAATGCAAACACATGCAATCATGAATAGGAACCTATCTCTAATCATCTTAGGGGTGGCCCCTAGTCTCGGACAAATTGGATGTGTAGTACTTCCCTACACACGACCCACACATGCGAGTGTGAGTCCTTAGGGCACTCGCACACCCCCTGGACCCTCTGATCAAGCTAATCTATAGCGACGTCCAGAGGTCAGCGGAACCCCATAGTGTCATGTGCCTCATGAACACCCTCATCTGTGTGCATTCGCACCTGTGCGCATTCGCGCTCATCATAAGGTGCGCGTCCGTACTCATCATCTCTAGGGGAAGTAGCCTTATGCTTATGAACATACAAACTGCATGAGGTCCCTCTAAATCCATCGTAATGTCTCTTCTGACACAACCCTCTAGTCTCATCTCTTTGTTACTCTAGGTAACGCATACTCGTGGATATTTATATTAATATCATTTTCATGCTTTTAGGGTTGTGTCCTACGTCGATCTAACGACATGATGCAATATGGCACTCATCATCATCTAGCATGCTCAATATGGAAAACATCATCATATTAAGGTAAAAATCATGCAATCATCAGATTCATCATAATGCCACAATGTGCGTCAAACATATCAAGGGTCACTCAACAAAATATGTATATACTAGCACATATCATCAAGCATCATACAATTTATTTAGCCTATCCTATAGTAAGGCCACTTACTTGGTTGGCCTTGGCCGAAGTACTCCCTAAATAGCTAAACGTAAGCTCCCGTTCTGTGATAGCTGCTTCCTACGTCGCCGGGGTTTGTTTCATATCACACCGTTCACCACTTTCCGTTAGTATTTCACAATTAATTTACCTATAGTTTAATAAATGTGAAATATGGCTCTAAAACGGCCTCGGATACCTTAATCGGGGCCGAAAACAGACCCGAGAGGGTCGAAATAGTTGAAACTAGGCTAAAAACAGGTGAGCCGAGCCGAATAGCCGCTGGAGCGTCACCAGAGGGAGCCCGAGCCATTTGCGCCGAGCTGAGCCGAAGGACTGCCTGCGCCGCTGTGTGACACGTGGCGGCAGCAGAGAGAGCCACGTCGAGTGGTAGTGTCGGGTCGAAGCGGGGGTCGTAGTCCAGTTCGGGTCGTGGTTCGGGTCACGGGCTGTGGAAGGCTACTGGGCAAGACTAATTGTTGGGCCTCGGCTTACTGGGCTGGGCCGCAAGTGTTTTGTTTGTAGGCCGGCTCAATTGGACCGTGGGTCTAGTCTAGGTTGGTTCAACTAAATCATAGCTTCTGGGCTGGTTTGAGGTTTGGGCCGCTGTAGTTGGGCTGGGCCGAAGGCAGAGGCCAAGGGAGGAATGGGCTGGCTCTCTCGGGTTTTGGGTTTGGGTTGACCCAGATCCGTGGATCTTGTCTTCCTTACCCGACTTCAGCCGATTTTCCGGCGAGCTTTCTCTCTCCTTCCCGCGGCGTTTCCATTGCCGATTTCGGTCCTCTTCCTTCCCTTTTCCTCTTTGTTCGTTGTCCTTCTTTCTTTTCTGGGAGTTTTGCGGCCTAAAAGCTCCTAAAAGCCACAGAGCTAAGAATCGATTAAGAAAACCTAATTTTCCAACCTCGGTTATGATGGTGTTAATATAACACATGTGGAAGCAATTTGGATCTTAGGCACTTTTAGAACATCAATTATTGTAAATAACTAGCATGTTCATAAGTATTAAAACTTAATGAGTTTAAATACTAACCTTTTGTAGTTCAAACTCCTTTTGCCTCACAAACCTGTTTCGAACCACCACTAGTGTCTTCTCCACTATCCTCCAGCTTTAGAACGGGATTGTGGAATCCGGTGAGTGACTAAACTTGGGAGGGATTTTGTATATGTGAAGAGAGTGTTTGTGAGAGGTTTTTCTCAAGGTTTTTCACCAAGAAGAAGAGACCTCCCATGTATCATGATCACTCTATTTAAAAGAGTCATGTTTGCATGTTCATGCAAATTTGAGATCACCAAATTTTGACACTTAAAATTCCACTCAAATGTTTGGGATTATGTGGCAAGCATGCATGTTTGAGTTAACCAAATTTTGACACTCAAAATTCCACTCAAACTTGTGGGGTTTATTTGGCAAACATTCAAGTTTGGTTAAACCAAATTTTGACACCTCAAAATTCCACTAACATGGATTTTTCCAATAGATGAAGTCAACATTTTGACTTTCTTCATTTTAATTCAACAATTAATTTGAATAATGAATTTCAAATTAAAGTAACATTAAATGATTAATTAAACTATTTAATTAATATTTAATATTGATTCAAATGCCAATCCCAAACAATTCCGACACATAATTGATTAAGATATTTAAATCTTATTTAAATATTTCAGATTCTCTCTTTTTGCTTAATTCGTAAATAAAACAAAATTGCGGTTAAATATATCGTATATATGTAACGCATATTCCCTAATTTGAATTCGAACACTTCGAACTCACTCGTCACACTGTTCTATGGTTTAGTTCGATATGAGCTAGCAGAGGGACCTAATGGACCTATAGATCATGGGCTCCAACGATCCAAGATTAACTGGTTAAACTCATTAACCTGGTTAACCAACATTCGTTAACTACTAGGACACTCCACTATAGCCTAGTAGTTGCACTCCCCTCACTATAGATATATTTTTGTCCATCTGATATAACCATGATTAGTAAGTCGATCCTTCACAGGTTGTTCGTAACTAGAGCTGGATCAATTTACCGTTTTACCCCTGAAGTTACTTCTTCTTCCTTATGTCTCACTGATCCTCTAATGAACAATTGGTTTGTGGTCCAACCAGTAAACCGAATCCCTCTCAGGCCAATGAGAGGGTGGGGCCCCTTGTTCAAGACTTGGAGTCAGTGCTTAAAGGGAACTACCTTTCTTCTATCCCTAAAAGCGGGTAGGAGTGAATTCTGTCTTGCACCCCATGTCCCCAGCCATTCACCCAGTCTTACCCCTGAAATGGGAGGCCTATTGAGTCGACGAACTAGAGCCACTCTCACCCATGCAAATCTAAGGATAATTCCGAATAAACAGGAGTTCATGGTTACCTCAGGATTAAAACCGAGTTACCTAGGTTATCGAATGAAAAGAAAATCAGTCTCAACAGTAAACGACATTATAAAGTGAGAGTGGTTTTCTTCATGGTCCGATCTTATGCAATACTCATTGCATAAGACGCCCCCACTCACATGTCTCCACATGTACAATTTAGTGATCACATTGTTTATATCATATACAAAAGTGGGCCGCATCCATAGTGTCCCATGAATAAGGTACTCAGCCTTATCCTTATACTATAGATCATTTTGACACTCGCCGACGTTTGTCCGAAATATCTCTCTCTCTCTCGAAATTTTCTATCTTTTCTCCCTTTGCAGGTGTTCTAAAGATGCTGGGTGTCGTGGGCTGAGGGTTGGGCGTGTTGTGGGCGTCGTTTCGCGTGGGTTCCACGAAACTCGGCGGTTGCCGGAAAACTCGCGGGTTTTTTGGCGACTGAGTTTTTAATTTTTTTTAATTTATTTTATTTTTTATTTATTTTTTACTATATATATTTTTCTTTCTTTCCCGGGTCGTTACACCTCTAGCTTTGCAAATTCTAGCATTGTAGGCGCTTATCAACTTTTGTATATGATATAAACAATGTGATCACTACATGTGCAGACATGTGAGTGGGGGCGTCTTATGCAATGAGTATTGCATAAGATCGGACCAGGAAGAAAACCACTCTCACTTTATAATGTCGTTTACTGTTGAAACTGATTTTCTTTTCATTCGATAACCTATGTAACTCGGTTTTAATCCTGAGGTAACCATGAACTTCTGTTTATTCAGAATTATCCTTAGATTTGCATGGGTGAGAGTGGCTCTAGTTCGCCGACTCAATAGGCCTCCCATTTCAGGGGTAAGACTGGGTGAATGGCTGGGGACGTGGGGTGCAAGACGGAATTCACTCCTACTCACTTTTAAGGATAGAAGAGAGGTAGTTCTCTTAAGCACTGACTCCAGGTCTTGAACAAGGGGCCCCACCCTCTCATTGCCTTGAGAGGAATTCAATTTACTGGTTGGACCACAAACCAATTGTTCATTAGAGGATCAGTGAGACATAAGGAACAAATAGTAACTTCAGGGGTAAAACGGTAAATTGACCCAGCTCTAGTTACGAACAACCTGTGAAGGATCGACTTACTAATCATGGTTATATCAAATGGACAAAAATATATCTATAGTGAGGGGAGTGCAACTACTAGGCTATAGTGGAGTGTCCTAGTAGTTAACGAATGTTGGTTAACCAGGTTAATGAGTTTAACCAGTTAATCTTGGATCGTTGGAGCCCATGATCTATAGGTCCATTAGGTCCCTCTGCTAGCTCATATCGAACTAAACCATAGAACAGTGTGACGAGTGAGTTCGAAGTGTTCGAATTCAAATTAGGGAATATGCGCTACATATATACGATATATTTAACCGCATTTTTGTTTTATTTACGAATTAAACAAAAAGAGAGAATCTGAGATATTTAAATAAGATTTAAATATCTTAATCAATTATGTGTCGAAATTTATTGGGATTGGATTTGAATTAATATTAAATATTAATTAAATAGTTTATTTATTCATTTAATGTTACTCAAATGAATTGTTGAATTAAAATGAAGAAAGTCAAAATGTTGACTCCATTTAATGAAAAAAAAACATTTGAGTGGAATTTTGAGTGTCAAAATTTGGTGATCTCAAATTTGCATAAACATGCAAACATGACTCTTTAAATAGAGTGATCATGGTATATGGAAGGTCTCTTCTTCTTGGTGAAAAACCTTGAGAAAAACCTCTCACAAACACTCTTCATATATACAAAATCCCTCCCAAGTTTAGTCACTCACCGGATTCCACAATCCCGTTCTAAGGCTAGAGGATAGTGGAGAAGATACTAGTGGTGGTTCGAAACCGGTTCGTAAGGAAAAAGAAGTTTGAACTACAAAAGGTTAGTATTCAAACTCATTAAGTTTTAATACTTATGAACATGCTAGTTATTTACTATAATTGATGTTCTAATAGTGCTAAGATCCAAATTGCTTCCGCATGTGTTATATTAATACCATCAACCAGCTGTTGGCGGATGAGAGGTTCCAATGGCGGAGGTTGATGAGCTCGTCCACGGTAGTGCCAGAGGAACAGGGGATTAAGGATGTTGAGAATCAGGAGAAGGAAAAAGAGAAGGATAATGCGTTGGTTTCAAGCTATCGGGGGATTTACAGGCCGAAGATTACTAGGGGAGATGGGTCTGAATGGCCTTGGAATTGCTTTATGCCATAGGAGACTTACAGAGCGGATGTGTCCATAGATCTTGGAAAGCACCATGAGCGAAAAGCTTTTCTGAACAAAGTCGCTTACCGCGTTGTAAAGCTTCTTCGAATCCCAACTGATATCTTCTTCCAGAGGCGCTATGGCTGTCAAGCAGTGATGCTATGTATATGAGGGCAGTAAAAGTTACACATGTCAATGACAACAACATGGTGCCAACAGACATTAATAAATCTATGCCTAGCTTACTAGGGTTATTTTTGGGTGGGGGACCTGATCATTCTTAAGGAGTAACTATAGTACAAGATTATCGTGCATGTCAAAGTTTATATAATTCTTGGTTTGAAAAATTTGTCATTTAAACTTTAGAAGTTGGTACAACAAAATTTCATCTAAATGTCATATCATATCTTAGATTCAAACTAATAATGCATAAGTAACGGTCCCACTAAACATAATATGTATAAACAAACAAGGTAAGAACATTATGGTGACATTACATTTTGTTCTTATTATTTAAGTAAACATTAGTTTACAATTTTGAAATTTCCATCAATAAATAGAGGATAGTCATAAAGGCGTTTAAAAACTCATTGAATGAGCAGTTTACAATTTTGAAATTTCCATCATAAAGACATTTAAATAAAATAAATTTGCACCACTCTTTCCATTGACACTATAGTATAAGTATTCAATTTGGCTATATATATATATATGAATAAGACAAAATAAGAACAAGTCATGTCGAGAGAGTGAGAAACCTCCAAAGAAAAAAAAATGAAGTATCTAAACATATGTTGTTTAATCGTATTGATTGCTTTGAAACCAAAAAATACGATTAAGTCATGTTTAGCAGCATCCAAGATGCAACTTGTACTGCCCAATTAGTAAGTGACCATTTTGATTTAGATAGGGGATTCAACTCTAATAGTTCATTCCAAGTCGAAAGGTAACTATTTTGGCGAACATGACATCAATGCCAGAGGCAAATAAACCTGGAGCTTTAACGAAAATTGTTTGCAAACCACATTGTTTTGATGCAATTTTAGCAGCAAATATGAGGAAGAGTAATATGAACCAAGAGACATCAATCATACAATATGCTTCAATGAAAATGTGAAGAAAATATTGTTGAAATTATCAAAAGATATTTCAATTTATGCCACATTGAAGAAGAATGAAGTTTCATGTTCTAAATTTTGGGTGGATTACAATTCAGATTTATTGTATTTCATTAATGTATTTTAAGATTTTTAATTTACTTTAGGTTACAATTACATAATGGTTAATTATGGTTATTAAGTATGAATGTTACAACTCTTGGAATGACTTTAGTAGTTTCATTTTGAGGCTATATAAAGCCATGTATGTTGTATTTGTAGGAAGACTTGAAAAATATAGTAAAAGAAGCATTTGTGCTTTTCTTTAACCAATGGCTAAGTTTCTTTGCAACTCTATGTAGTTTGGGTTGCATGTAGAATCATTCAAGCTCGACATGAACAATCTTGCTTGTGGAGTGATTCGAATCTCAAACAAGTGTTCTTGCCTTGAGATATTTGATCAACAAGAATCATTCAAGCTAGACATGATCGTTCTTGTTTGTGGAGTGATTCGAATCTCAAACAATGTTCTTGTCTTGAGATATTCGATCAACAAGGTAATCCGAATCTTACTCTCCTTGTAGTGATTCCTTATCTTATTAAATAGAGTTGGCTTAGTGATCAATGTGTTGATCATAACTGCATATTGACAATAGGAGATCAAGGCATTTCCTTGCATTATAGCTCTACCAACTTCAATAAATGTATCCTTAGAAATGATGTAATCCATTAATTTGCGTTCTATCGTCAATCCCAAACTATGAATAAAAATATTCGTTATTTACTTTAAGGTCAAAGGTTGATCTCTTACATATTTATTGAAAAAAAAAACATAATAGAGATACTTACAGTAAAACTCACACAGGTTACAAAGAACTCTCATCCTTCGAAATTTCTCTTTTCTGACTTAATAATGATAAGTTGTACTTTCTTTCCATTGTTACACTATTTATATTGATAAATCTAGTAGTGTCATCTAATTTTATAGTGAAGATTTGATGACACTATTTATATGAAGAAAAAACCTTAGATTTAGACCGACAACAAGAGTTTGAAGTACTTCTTCACCTAGAAGAAAGTGAATATAGATGATTGGAGCTAGTGAATGATTATGACATAGATATTCAATACAGGGCAAGAAGGCGATAATAGTTGTCGATACTTTAAGTCGGAAGACAACCCACTCGTCAGCTATGATTACTAGAGAGCTATGATTACTAGAGAGCCATGAGTGCAAGTAAAGTTCGAGGAAGCAAAAATTGGAGTGGTGGTTGAAGGAGTTGTAGCACAAATGACTCGACTCACAGTCCCACCCATGCCAAGACAACAAACTATTGACTTCCAATAGAAGGACCCAGTCTAGTCGGAATCATAAGTCAATTAAGCACAAAATTTGTCGACGGTTTCTCTAAATCCAAAACTGGAGTACTATTGTGTCAAGGGCGATTTTTTTTTTTATTACTCAAAGACCGTTGGAGTCAAATTTACAAGTTTCAACAAGCTCGAACACGAATTAAACAAGAGTCCAAGCGTCTTTCAAAATTAACTGTTTGTTGAGATCAACAGACTCACTTATGGATAAGTGCTAATTTGGGATTGGATTGAGATGCGTCAAACAAAGTTTACTTTGTCGTTAGGAACTCAATCAAGGAGAGCCTTTGCTATTGAAATTAAATGTTTTTGTTTTCTAGGTTTATTTTCGGATGATATTGATATATAATACAAGTTTTTTTTAACTGTATTTTGAGACCTATTTTTATGTATGATATGATTGGTAATTTTGCGATAGTTATATGTTGTGTGCTCGAGTAATTAGCCTTGAAGGTCACTGAAAGAGGTGATTCAAGAAATCTTATGTTAATGCTTTGAGACGTTGGCAAAAGCTACGTACGTTAATACTTCTGGCGTGTCGCTAACAAATGTGATCGTTTCTTGTCTAGGCATACGACGTCTTCTCTCACAAGATTCTATGAATGTAGAGGTCAACATTATTATTATTATGTTTTGTCGAAAAGTTATTTTTAAATAGAAGTGGGTAGAAATTCAAATTCTTAGTCATATTTTTTAGGTGCAAAAACATTACTCTCAGTAAAAATAAATTTTTTATTTTTTATTTTTTATTCTTTTGATTAAGCTACATAAATGACAAATATATTCATAAAATCAAGAGAACCCTCCCTCTATTAAGCATTACTCTATATATTCTTATATACTTTAAGATATATTATTTTTATGTGAATGATGTGAGATATATTCCATTTTGACAATACACCCAAGAGAACCCTCTCTCTATTTTTGTTTTCTTTATTTGAATTTTATATTTTAATTTAATGTGTCAAAATTTGAAAGAATTAGGGGAGAGTCGTTTCAATTTTGTATCAAGAACCAAGAGGTTCAAGAGATAACAGAATTAAGGAAACCCACCAGAAAACTAATCCAATCTATATCGATGTACTAAAAAATACAACATTTTTGTTCGCCAACCAACCCCAAGGAGAATAATGTAAAGTTGACCTAAAAAAAAAAGAATGGTTGAATTTAAACTTGAACCTAAATAAAAATATTTAAGAGAAAATATAATTCTCAAATCTCACATTTAAGTTTAAATTCTAGATAATCATACTTTTTTTTTAATTTTACCTAAAAATCTATTAATGATTAAAACAATATTTTGAGGTCAATAAATAAATAAATAAATAAATAAATATATATATATATATATATATATATATATATATATATATATATATATTATAATTAATTAATTATAGTGGTGACGACAATATTCAAGACCAATAACTTCATTTTAAAATATTTAACCATATTTAAATGAGTAAGGTAAGACAGATTAAGCTAACATAACTTTTATACCCTTTAATAAAAGGTATACAGTACATTTTCAACTAATTGTGGTTAAAATATAACTTCATACCCCCTCACTTTGGCTATACGTGTACATATAAAAGAGAATAGAAATAAGTTTTTTAAAAGGGCGAGCAATCTCATAGAAGAAAATGAAGTCTCTAAGCATTTTATGTTTAATCATGTTTACTACTTTGACATCGAACAATATTGTAATAGCAAAAAATAAATAAACAAAATAAAAATAATTATAATAAGGTAGTTAAAATAATAATAATAAATAAATAAATAAAAATAACGTTTCCCCACTTCTCTCCACTAACCTCTCATCTCTTCCCACAATTATCTCTCCTCAACCATCCTCACGCCAGAAAGTAACAGTGACTGCAAAAAAAAAAAAAAAAAA